ACAGAATCGTCCAACAAAATTACTGTACCAAGGGTTAAAGAATTATTGTAGTCAATATATTTTACGGTACAGTTTAAATAGGACTTTAGAAATAAATATTTATTTTTTTTCACACAAATTTAGTAACATAAATATTTACTGTACTAAAATAAACCTACAACGGTTTTCATTCAATACGAAAAACGACCGAATCCAGTGTAACTTGTGTCTCTTGTACAGGCTGCTGGAAAAAATTACGATCAGTTTTTAGTTGCGTTAAGTTTACTTTTGTAAATAGTTGATTTAACCAAAGAAAAAAACGAATTTCGAAAAAGTGTATTACCGGCAATCGCTTTAGTTGGTGTAGGTGTTTTTTAAAAATGTATTAAAAAAATAGACTAGACATTCTCACGTCTTCAATTTCATTTATTTATGAGCTTTTATAAATCCAAAGATTTCTGTAATAAAAATCACGAACTTTCCTACAACACTTGACCATCATTTTATTTATGCTAGGCTATGCGAGGCTATACACAACGCTAAGTTATGTCCGCTCTTTTCCGTAACACCCTATATACCGTAAGCGAATTAACGGGATATATAGAATTGTCACGAGAACTACCTACCGATAGCAATAAGAAAGCCTTTAAGCGTGTTGATAAGAAATAAATTAGATTGAATGTATTATAGGTTTATCAAGCGAAATTATACTTTATCCTTTTAACGCAAGATTGATTTCTCATTTTGATTTTTAAGGTCAACTTTCTGTTCTCTTAATTAATCTATGCCCCAATTAACGTTAGTTACAATACAAAATAGCTCAGTATTCGTAAAGTACTAAGGTTCAAATTTATAGAAGAAGATGTTACGTTGAAATCATCACATCAGACGTATTCCATTCAAATAGATCCGTTTGATATTACTCTATGTGGTATTGATTAAATGTTTTTAGCAGCATCACTCACGTTGTTCTATGTAGTAAAATATTTCTGCCAGAGTTTATAAGTATTTAATTTCTAAAGTGTTCCTAATTTAACCATGAGTTGGTTGTAGCCACAAAACATGTATTATTAGTGTGTACATTTCGTGCATATTCAAATAGTTACGGGATTTACTAGGTATCCGTTATAAAGAGAAGAATCAATCCAAATCCTTTTGCAATATTGTTGAACGACCAGTGACTTGTTCTAGATCCTTACTGCAGTAAGATAGCAGTCAAAGGGGAATGCCCATTAATGGTTTCACTTTTAGACATTTGCGTCATTATTTCAAATGTTAAAAAAAAATGATTTTAATGTGATTTTTTTTTAAAATGTGAATTGTCGTTTTCACCCTAAATCTCTTCTATAGAACCTAGGGTTTATAATTAAATCAAAGACTAAAACTTGAACCAATGACCATTTCCATTTTAAGTTAAATGTTACCATCACATTAAATAAACCATTAATGGTTAAATGCAAATAAATATGATTTTAAAATTAAATGGTTAAATCTCAAGTAAGGGGGACTAGAAATTATCAGTCAGTAAATTGTGGGAGTTTTAATATGCTTCTGTCTATCCCCTCCGTAGATAAAACACGTGAGTGTATGATGGATGTATTAACATAATCATGGAATACCTTTATTAAAAATCGAGCTTATTTAAACTTCCAGTCAATGTAAGCAAGGCAGTATGAACTTTGCACCTACATCAAGTTTTAATGTAGCGTTGGGACAAATAACTTACTTTACAAAACTGTTTTTTAAATATTTATGTTATTTTTAGTTAATTCTATGGGTCTGTTGATCTAGTGGTTAGTGACGCTGACTGCTAAGCCGGTGGTGATGGCTTCGATTCCCACCCAGGACAAATCACCGTGTGATGAGCACGATTACTTGTTGTCTGGATATAATTTATCTATATCTATAATTTATTAATATGTCTTTAGAACCTGGATACCATTATAACCATAATTCTGACAAGTTCGGGGTCAGTCAGCCATGTGTGAGAGGTGTGAAGTTAAAAAAAAATCCAATCAGACTTGCTAGTATACCAAAGTCCCCAAAGTATTAAATTCTTGAGATACGCTAACTAGGTCTAAAAAAGAACGATTTATTTCGCATTTACCCTCCCAATTGTCAGCCGTGGCATTATCCCGAGTACAGGATGTAGGTGCCGTTTCAAATACCCTTAGGGTAATCGCTCCCCTTTCCTTGGCTGAGCGCTCTAAATGCCCTCATTTCTTTCATCCGCAAAATTGTGGGGTCTTTACATCTATATCAGATATGTTGAGAAACATAGGTTTTATCTTTTGTAGTTCTACGTGATTAAATCAAAAGAAATATAAAACTATATTTTTTATATTTGTTTATATGTGCGTATATGTAATTTATGTACATATATTCATGAGTACATTATGCGTTTATTTCCTAATATTGTTTTATATAAGTACATGGATATTTACTTTATTAACACTGACTACGAACCTGTTTTCTGAAATACGTTTTCTGTACTGGCCTTTTCTTAAAGCCTGGAGTTCCGCTGAAGATTATAGCGTAAGACATTTTCCAAAAATCTATCTTGTTATTCCTTGAAATCGAGAAACACTAATCTGATTTCAAAGACAGCACTAAAGTATGATAAAAGTATATTAAAAACAAATAAATAAAACTCAAATCCTTCATAGATCCAGTCAGTCCACTTTGTATTACATCAAAATGTCATCCCTCAAATCCATCACAAAGTAAATTTGGTGGCAAAAGAATTCCTCTAACATCTTTATATCTAATCTGTAATCCTGAATAGCTTTCAATCAACACCAGAAAGCTTTCCAATTCCTCGAACCGGTCCAATCGCTTCTATTGCTCGCAGTAAAGTAATCGATCAGCCGATCACTAACGTCCGACCACTTATCTTTGTCGCCTCCACCTTTCATATTAACAATCTTCTGTTTAATAAAACACCATTTTTCTGAATTATAAATGGCTTACAAATGAAAAAGGAAAACTGTTTTGGAGAGGAGGAATTTAGGAATGTGAGTCAAGAATTTAAAGAGTATGTCTACTAATTTATGTAATGCTGTCAGTGAATTTAGGTATCAATTAAAATTTGTTTTTTATTGCTGTCAATGTATTCCTTTCTTAGTGACTTTTTTAATTAAAACATGATGGACATTATAGTATGTATCTGCAGCCTATTCGGGCTATTATATAAGTCTCAGTTTCATATTTGCTTCATCCCGATTTCCTAATCCCTTCTTTTACCTTCTTTTTTTGACTTGTCTGTCAACTTATACTGTGAATGTATAAGTTCACAGACAAGTCAAAAAAAGAAGAGTTGGAGTAAAGCAGGCCGTCGGCACTAATAGAAATCCTTGTAATATTACAGGGAAGAAAACAACAAAGACGATGATGAAACAAAAAAATCGTTCGTATGTTATGTATTACCGTGCGATTCTCGTACCAGGGATACAATGTCAGGATATGTGTAACTCATATTCAGAAAACAGAGATATTAGATCAGAAATTTAATTTAACACGAGATAAGTCATTTGCAAAAACCACATATTAGATCACAAGTCAGTTTATAGCGACTAGTAACCGTTCATCAACGGCTAAGCTGTATGAGACCGTCTAAATTAATGAATACGTATAGCCGTTGGAAAGTTTAAAATACGAGTAGTTTTATCGAAATATCTTTTACAAAACGATGAGTAGAATTCCAATAAACTGGTGTACAATTTCGGCGTTTATTACTTTCCAAAGCAACAATAACCCTAGAATACAGAATTGTAAGACGCCATCGCTTGTCCCTTGAAATATTTGTCAGGGAGGCGGTTATTGACAGCTTGGAAGGGGGTCGAACAGGGCACAGCTTAAGTAAACGACGATTTCATTCCGCTAACGACTGACAAAGAATTCGGGGGATTAGATGCCGTATTACGTCACACCGTCTGCTTTTTAAACGCTGAGTGATCAACCAAATGCTTGACTGCGAATTGTGTAAAGAGGATATATATTATATTTTATTAGGCCTTTAGAAGAAATATTTGTAGATATTAAAATTTTAGAGCTTACATAGTTTATACGAAGATATTCCTTAACATTTTTATAGTGGAGGGGGTGAACGAACAAACAGATCACCTGTAAGTGGAAGTGACTATCACCGGCAATAGACGTTTGCAAATTTTGAGTGTTGCATACGTCCATTGGCGGCAATGTCGGTCACTCAAAGCCCGGAAACATATTTCTGAGTCTTGAGTCAGAAATGCGTTTTTGGGCTTTTAGTGCTCCTGCCAAATTTGGAGCTGTTGTGCCTGTATGTTCTGCACCATGGCTCTTCCACAGTTACGATCTTATATACGTGGCAAATTAAAAACCTAGTTGATTATCTATCCTAGATATCACCTGATGGTCGAGTTTTGACCATAATTGTATAATGTTAAGGTATAGTGTTATATCAATTACCGTTTAGTTATAGTCTGCGGTATTTTCAGACCGATACGACCTTCAAACCTTTAAGAAAAGAGTGTACTCCTTCCTAAAAGGCCGGAAACGCCTTTGTGACTCCTGAGCTGCAGGCGTTACTTTCGTAGTTACTTTCCATCAGGTGACCCCTCTGCTCGTCTACCAATTCTTACATATAAAAAAAAAGTGTTTCATCAATGACCCGTATAAATTAAACAGACATTAGGGCTTATTTTGACTGGTTTCTCGTCATTATTAAGCTAGTATTATATTAATAACATATTTTAGCTTTCTGCTTCTTTTCTCCATCCAGTATTTAATTCCAATATTTTTATATTTTTAAGTATGCAAAATTAGCCTAAGGAAATTGTCAAATTAAGGTAAAATATTAATATTTCAGCATATTATGTTTTGAATTCACACTGAATACTGTATACAAATTTCAAATTGATGTCTCACACGTTCCTAATACCCATAGCACCCTTGCTAAGTATACCAAAATGAAAGCAAGTCATCTTCAAAGAGTGTACTCCCCAACTAGCTACATGGTCGCACATAAATAGAACACCCCTTACCTGTGCGAGTGACAAGTGCCAAAGCGCCCAGCGCCACGAAGAGAAAAGCCACCGACATCGCTAGTTCACGTGCCCGTGCATAATCCCACTTTCACGGCTCGCAACACTCTATATAACACCACAGAACACCCTGCACACGCCTCCCTGTGAACAAAAATGAACTTTATTTACATAAAATATAGTTTGTTTTACATCGACACAGGTTTGGTACAAAAAAAATTGATTTCGATCTTTATTTGAACATTGTTAAGGTCTTATTTTGATTAACGTAAAGTTATTAATTGATATTAACGGTGTTAGAGGATATAGCCAGATAAATACTGTGAAAACATTAAAGTGGAACATTTTTTGTTTTTGTGTATTATACTAGACTTATATTGAACAGTTTAGTTATGAACAATGACTTCTCAAATTGTAAAATTGTTCTAAGTGCAATATAGTTTTAAATAAAGTATTACTTTTCATTTGTAATAAGTTGGACGTGATGGATGAACAAAGTATTACCCGCATTTGTGTTAGTGTATTTGCCGCAAGTGAAATTTTTGATACAAAAAATTTTTTGTTTGATTCTATATCAATAACAAAGCCAAAGAAAATAAGAAGACGAGAAGGAAAGACAGTACGTGACATTGATGATATAGTTTTCTTATTAAAGAAAAAAAAATAACAAAAAAAAAACGGATCCTGAGGACACACTTCCTATTTTTGTTGCTCGAAATTTTCAAAAAGTTCTTTTCGATCATGTTGATGCGACCCGTATTTTAAAGGACCTGGTGTGGTATCGGAGTGAATTGGATCGTATCTCCACCTATTACGCGCCAGTAAACCAGCTGCAGCTGCGGACGGAGATTGAATCACTTAAAAATGTCTTAATTGTCAACAACTTCAATGTCCAATCGACTGCTAGGCAGCACCAATGGCATCTTGAGAGTATTGTCCGAGAGGTGGAACCTTCCAGTCCTACAAAGGTGGATGCGTCTGGTTGCTAGCGCATCGCCACGATTTATTTTGTTATTGTTTTTGTTGTAATGTAGAACTGACATAGTTGTATGATGATTGTTACTAACACATTTATGGGCTAATGTCTAAAATAAATTTATTATTATTATTATTCTCTTTATTATATTTTAAATACATATTAATTACATTTTTATATATATTATAAAAGAAAAAAAATACATTTTAAAATAAAAAAATAGTAGACCACCGACATCGGGTACAGGGACCAAGACACCGGTGGTTAGGACTCCAAAGACAGGACCCTCATCACTATACGGGCCGTGTCAAGGAGAACTGCCTTCTGTATCAGACCCTTGAGCCAGCCGTCTAACGTGAGCCTCTTAAGGTCGAGGCTCTATCCGTGAGCAGTCGTATCTGCTCACGAATTGATAGCCAAGAGCCTCGAACAATGATTGCCGAATCCACATTCCATATATCTACAATATCGTGAGATAAATCCAAATATTTTATTTGTTTTTCATTTTCAACTTTCAGGAGATTCTCGTCAAGAGAAACGGCGATATCAACAATCATTGCACGATGCTCTAATCGATCTCATCAACAGCCTTTAATACTCCACTGCTGGACATAAGCCTCTTCTTAGAAAGGAGGTTTTGGCCTACTATACCACGCTGGCCAGACGGGTTGGTATAGGGTGTGTGTCAAGTTTTCCTTCTCCTTGCAGTGCTGTTGTTCTGCGTAGTTTTCTCCCTTGGTCGGCTCTTACGACACCCACGGGATGAATAGGGGTGGTGACACTCTGTATTCTTAATCCGTCACCACACGGACATCCGACACCACATATTGTGGTGATAGATAGATTAGATAATCGATCTATCACCACAATATCTGGCTCATTTGTAACAATAGTCCTGTCTGTTATCATCCAATATAACGTGATCGTTTTCGAGAACTTGGTCGGGCACATACCTGTAGTATGGCACCTCAAGATTCACAAGTTGGTATTTAAGGGCAAGCTGTTGGTGTACGATCCTGGCTACTTGGTTGTGTTATTATAATTAGTGCAAACTAATAATAATAATAACACAACCAAGTACTTTACTACTTGTGCTATGAACGAGTTGCCATTTTTATACTACTGACGGGCCTGTTGGTTTAGTGGTTAGTGACTCTGACTGCTAGTCATAGGTTCGATTCCCACACAGGACAAGTATTGTGTAATGACCACGATATTTGTTCTATGTATTGATAAATATATAAGTATGTGTATTTGCCTAGTTTGGGATTAGACGGCCATGAGTGAGATGAGTCTAGTTATTATTATTATTACTATGAGCAAAGTTAGCAAACAAGTACTCAACCCGCTTACTAGACTCGACAATTGCGATTTTGTCTTTAGTGAGGCAAAGTAACTCTTTTAATCTTTTACAATGGTGTAGGTTGCAAACAAGCATACAGGTCTCCTGAAACATCCTAGAGATCTGCAGCTCATCAGTCAAAATTGTGTATCAGACCTTTTAGTGCACAGAATCAGAGAGTGGAAGGGGAAGCTTTGGGTCTCTGGTGACGTCACACACTCGATGAAATGTAACGAATCGCTTTAAGCTGGTTTTCTGTGAGGCCGTGGTGGTTTCCGAGAGGGACTTTTAGTGAATCCTGGTGGTGCGGTCATGGCTCTCCTGTGGTTAAAGTTTATGTCCAAGGTTAATGTTAAAAGGGTGCAGCGGAGGTGTGTTCTATTTCCTTGTTCCTCTTCAAACGAGTTACAACCTTGTTCGCAATTTCAGTGACGAAAAGTTACATTCAAAATGCAATACTTAATATTACTTCGTAAGTATACAAAAATGAGTTTCTTTAAAAGTACAGTTATTTGAAGTAAAAATGAATATTCCACAAAACTGCTCAAAACCGCAAAGCGAATTCCGACTATCAGAAAACTAGTTTGTATTACCTGCATATAAAGTGGCTCTAAAGTTTTATTCCAAGTGGCTCAGAAATTTAATACTCAAAGTTGCTTATACTAGTTTCAAAGATGTTTTTTTTTAGTGTGCAAATTGTGCACTTCATAAAGCCACTACTTATAATGCTTACATATATTTACTATGTGTAATATGTATGTGAACAATATATTTATAAATGTGTATAAAATATGTGATTTCGTATTCCGTATTCATTGCTAAATTTTGTCTGTCTAAAATTAAATGTAATCAAAATGCATCTACTTCCTGTTTTCTCTGCATCACCCAATAGCTGGCTGGTAGAGAATGCCTTAGGCATTAAGTCCACACCAAATGTATAAAATAAATAAATATCTAGCTCACAGCATCTAAACTCGTAGAGTCTCGCACAGTTTACTTCTATGGCCGTTTATCAAAATCAAACAGATGAAGTAGGATAGCTTTACTAGGCAACGACTTTCGGACATACGGACAACAAGCTGTTCGTATTATGGCTATGTATATGTCCGGGTGGTGACGGATTAAGAATACGGAGTGTCACCACCCCTATTCATTCCGTGGGTGTCGTAAGAGCCGACTAAGGGAGCAAACTCTGCAGGACAACAGCACTGCAAAGAGAAGGAAAACTTGAAACAAACCCTTTACCCATCTGGCTAGCGTGGTATAGTAGGCCTATGTCCAGCATTGGACTATTAAAGGCTGTTGATGTGATATATCAATCAATCAATCAATCAATCAGTTTATTTTCATTGCCCTATAGCCATATAGCCCTGAACTACTCGAGCCATTACTTACATTTTTAAATTCACTCTTTAATTCTTAATGTACTCGTAATTTTGTTTCAATATAATCCTAACTTTTCAATCTTTAATTTTCAACGGAAAAGTTGTCGACTATAAGTTTGTTCCCTATTGTGAGCTTGGGACCTAATTACTCAGCAAAATGGGTGAATAACGCGCCTCTGCCTAATCTTTCGGAAATATAGGCGTGAGTGTCTAAAGCTTTGAGTCCTAGCTACTCCAATAAATAAATTATTATTATTATTATATAAATGTAAAGAATCGTTGTCATGTATTCAACAATTGGTTGCCATCAAACGCTTACTTGATTATTACTTTATTATTATACAAGCTACTATCGCTGCTGGTATAAAAAACAGCTTCTATCCGAACTAAAAACTCTGTTCTGTTTATTTTTCAGTTTGAACTAGTTCCCCACATCCCAAAAGCGTATACTTTGTGGGTGTTCTTTGTAAGTTTTCCGGTAAGATAATAAATATTTCAAGTTTAAGCTTTGAGGAAATTAATTTACAAATAAATATTATGAAAGGTTTATTAAAGGTAAATTTAAGTTTTTTTGTAACCTTTAAAAGTGTTCAACCTTTCATTGTAATCAGTTTAAAAGTTTAGTCGTGATAGAGCGTTAAGCCGTGGGAGAGCCATGCTTTTAGCACGAATGGGCCGGCTCGACCGCAGTGATACCACGGCCTCACATAAAACCGGTGTTAAGCAATTCTTTCGTTGACTTTCACTGAGTGAGTGCGGTTACCGGAGCCGAAATCCCCCTCCCGCTGACTCCAGGGATGGCCAAGCACTTGTGACTTTTGACTTGCAGGTGTCCATTGGCGGTGGTAGTTGCTTACAATCAGGTGACCCGTCTGCTCGTTTGCCCCCTGGCAAACGAGCAGACGGTTACATGGATGGTTACATTTTTAAATTGAGGTGAAGTAATTTATTTTAAACATAGAAATCTACTTCATTTTTTCATTGTTGTATTTACCTTTTAAAACAGATATATAGAGTTGGTTTATTCAAACAGATTGTTTTCAAATATATCTATTAACTCTTAGTCAGCATAATTATTCAATATCTTCAACAATTGTCTTCATATTTCATCACATTTATTCAAAACTGTAATGAATTTTATCCTTAAATTTTTGTAATAAATGGGAGCGCTTTAATATGTCTGTGTACTTATTGTTGCATGAAATGGTGCCGATTAAAAGTAATTTGAAACGTTTCAAATTTAAACCAACTATTTTACTCCAGGACTTGCGATCGATTAATTCGTTGCTAGTTTTTTTTTTATCAAGTGACCATCGCCGCCCATGAACGTCTGCAACTCAGGCGTTACAAACGCG